CCTATCCACTGTATCCCTTGGTTTCCTCCAGATGTTGACATCTTCATGATCCAGTCGATGACCAGGAGAAAGAGAAAGGGTGAGAGTAAGCAACCTTGTCTAACACCGGTCTTTACTTGAAACGAGTCGGTGAGTTGTCCTCCGTGGACGATTTGGCAGTTTGGTCCATCATAGGAGTTCCGTATGATATTGACTATCTTCTCAGGCACATCGTAGTGTCGAAGAGGCCTCCATAGTGTCGTCCTGTCCACGCTATCAAATGCCTTCTCGTAGTCGATGAAGTTGATGTAGAGTGGTGAATTCCACTCGATTGTTTGTTCCACAATGATGCGTAGAGCTGCGATTTCGTCTGTACACGATCGTCCTCCTGAAAGTTTTGTTGATGCATATATGTTCGATATGATTCTGTGTAGTGTGATCCGTTGAAGTGCATGTGGTTTTGTGAATGCGTTGGTGTGGAAATATAGTTCCACCTATGACCAGTTTATTGAACGCACATAGGCTTGGAAATCTTTCACCATTTTCGTTCTTTTCTCCTAGTCTATTTCGTCCCATGATATTTTCGTATCCAGTGTTGTCCATTCCGACCTTGGGCACATCTGGACGACTGACTGCAGCCTATCGTAGAATCGGTCTTTCACGTCTTCAACGTAGTCGTTGGTAGGCGCATTGCATGACGTTCACTGTAATGACCTCTATCTTTGTTTTGAAGGAGGCTTTGATGATTCTTGATTCATGGAACTCCCATCCCATAAGTGCATTTTGTACTTCTTTGCATAGCTTCAGAACAACTTCTTGTGTATGTGGGACATTTTGTTCCTCGTGCTCGAAGCATAACAACAGTCCCTTTAATCTAGTATTTAGTGAAAATTCCCATTTTGACATTTGTTAATTAAAAAGGAACTAATCGAGCGAAGAAATTTCTTTTCAGAAGTATAGACGGAACATTAAAAAGAGGATTACATAGAAAATCTACAGTTGGACAGTACACTCATTTCTATAGCGCAGTACCAATGAAATACAAAAGAAACCTAATAAAGATCCTAACTCATCGTGCTAGAATGACTTGCTCTGATGACATTATTTCAGATGAATTGGCTAATACTCGAAACTTGCTTAGTAAGAATGGGTATCCAATGAAATTCATCGACAAACACATGAAGGAGACGAAAAGAAGGACAAAGGTACCTACTCTTCCGAAGAAGGCACTGTTTCTGAAGTTACAATTCTTAAATGATGCTACTGAAGAAATCTTGACACAGAGGTTAAGAAGGGCAGTACAGAAAACATTTAATGCAGCTCGACTTAGTACCGTCTTCTACAACCGCCCCAAAATAAGAACTGTTAATAAAGACAGATTGCCTGAATTCGCCACATCTATGTGTATTTACCAATTCAACTGCTCCTGTGGAGCCAGTTATATAGGGCGTACAATTCGGCAAGTTCGTCAACGAATAACAGAACACTATCCGTCATGGTTGACTAAAGGACAGGTAAAGGGGATTAAGAGTTCTATTCTCGCTCACTTGGTGGACACAGGTCATTATGTTGAACTGAATAAAGCTTTTAAGGTTATCTACCATATTCCATCAAATTTGCCACATGGTTTACGAGCTCGTCTATTGCACATAGCTGAAGCCATCGCAATTCATATCCACAAACCGAACCTTTGTGTCCAAAAGAAGTTTGTACAACCACTCTCGCTACCTTGGCCATCGGTATAGCGGAGTTTGTAGCATAATTTAGGTAAACAATTATCTTATTCCTTCCATTTTTTGTATTTTACTTATTCTCTTCATTCGTCTCTTGATTCTTACATAACTACTATATTACTGACCATTCATCAAAATATTTTGTTAGTTCTTTCTCCTCATTTTTATATATTATGCAACGTAGCAACAGCTTGATTTTCGAATAATAACTTTGATTAGTATTAATCCTTCTCTTCCAATTAATGTTAGTTTATAATCGATGTCATTATATAATCATTGCGTAACGTATCTAATCCATGAGTGTTATTTAATTATTGTAAATCATATATATATTAGTGAAGAGCCATGATGAAAAACTAATTGAAAAGAAATTTCTTCGCTCGATTCGTTCCTTTTTAATCTAGTATTTGTTGTGTTTCATTGATTCCAAGCAACTTTAGTTATCATTTCATTTCTGTAGCGATTTGGGTGGCTCCTCTGGTCTGCCACTTTGTATGAGCATTAAATGTACCTAAATCAATGGTTGCTCTGGTTGTCAGAATGGGCATCGGCCTCGTGACTTTAGAAAAAACTCGGCATTCACCATGAGGCTTCATAAATCTTCTTAGGGAAAACCTTTTATTTACCAGAACAAAGTTTAAATGGTCCGAATTATGTATTCTGGTTATCGTTTTTTAGCGTGTTTGTTTCCTACGGGATTAGGTTGTTAACTCGAAGCTCAACCCTCCTCCTTTATCCTGGCTTGGAACCGGAGATAACCCCAAAGGAGCCCCAGGTGGAGTTATTCATTGGCTTTGTTCATTCAGTTACTTAACTACATATTAACACTATTTATGTAATGTTGGTAATTGAATACTCAATGGGAAAAACCTAGGGATTTTCATGTTTTCTACCCACCTGCAAAGTTTCGGGAAAAAGCTACTTTGTCAGCTTGTTTAAAACTCATTTAAACATCTCTGATAACTCCGTAGATACATACAATTTTTTGTCTGCCCGTCTACAGACTCCGCCTTGATTTCACAGTTTTTTGGATCGCATATTGTACAGAAAGTTTTTCGCTCATAGTTGAAGTTTCGGATTCTGAAGTTTGTGGTCTTCTTCTAGCTTTTCAAGAAACCCTTGTTTTTCTCTCATCACTAACTACCTGTACTTGTGACAACGGACCACAACAATTACCACAAGCCAAAGGTAGAACGCGGGAGACTGATACAAATGAAGACTTATTGACGTGACTTTGGCAGAAGGTACACCTACTTATATAGTTTAAGGGTAAGTGAAGTGTCACTGGGCCCTAACTAAATCGTCCAGCATTTTGGTCACCGGATGTTGAACAGTTCATCAACCCTCTTCAAGTTCAGCAACAACTGCCGCGTATCAGTTGATGGCACACCATGGATTGGATCATAAGCGGTGGTAGAACTATGTTCCTTGTACCTACTCTTTCAAATATATTTTTCTGAGAACGTCGTTTATGTTGTATGGTCACCACTGTAGACATGGTACCTAGATATTACGAAAGAGTAATCCGTGTTAGGTACTGACAGCGAAGTATGATTTACGTCAGCTGGTTAGTCACGTCTGACTAGGGTAGGCCTGGACTCATTTACTACAGATCATCTACGTTGATGATCTACTTAGTGATTTGCACACCATTTAATCAGAAAAATAGTCATAGTCATTAGATTATAACGAAACTGCACACTGCGTGTCATGCAGAACATTGTTCATGCCAATTCAATCAGACTATATCATATCTTGAATAAACTCTGAAACCAATCAACTTTGTTCTGAGTAAAATATCACACTCAAATATTTAACAAATATTACTCCAATTAATCACCGTATTGAATAAGAAACAGAAGCAGTGTCAGACAAGAACCACAAGTAGTAAAAAATATAGTCTGGCTTTCTCACCCAGTCACATCACTTTTGGTTTTCTACTGTCCGATGAAATGTATGATAGCAGTACCTAGGTATTCAAATGCTACGATTTAGTCTAAGATTGTGGTGATTTCGAGCTTGACCAACGACCGTATCAAATCAGTCACGAAGAGGTATGAAACCTTCTGGGCTCTTTGTGTAAGTATATACCTCCAATCCCCATCACCGTGTATCATGCCTTGTTTCATCCATCAGTGAAATAATTGATTTCAATTTGTTCAACTTAGATCAGTTGCTGTTCTGTGACTAGATTGGATGAGTTTCTGACAAAAATCGACGTCTACCAACCTAAAATTTTGGACTAGTACTTGATAGGTCAACAGATGTTTTTGGTGTTAGCAATGAGATAATGAAGACAATAGAAACCTTCATGTGATTTCTGACTCGAAAACTAATCCTGAATCACAATGAAGTTCATATTGCAACTTCGACCAATCAGCTGACTCCAAAAACCTATCAGTTTATTACGACATGAAATCCTAAATAAGAAGGACCATCGAGTAGCAAATATCTGAGTTATTTTTCAAGTGTTAAATAATGATCTCGTTTAGAAAAAATATTTTCATCGTGTTCATCCATTCAAGTATGGTGTTTCTCTCCTAGATTGAGTACATAAAAATGAAGCCGAAATGGTACCTATAATAGCAATAAAGTTCCATTTATCTCATTTGCGGACCTTCAACTTGAGAATTAAGTAAAAGAGAAGGGCTATCAAAGATTAGGCCATACTATGTAATATTGCGTTCAATCCCATTCAAACAACCAGTTACCTAAAATGTTATGTCGTAAAGCCACACACGTTACGTCATCATATTAAAGTCAAACATAAAAAACACGTCTGAAAATCCGTATATGTAGTCTGAAAATTCACGAAACTAGTGCCACTATAAAAGATGTTGTCTTAAAAATATCTGCACATCACAAACGTAGATGATCTGTGTAGAAAGATTCGGGGACAACTAACGTCGAAGTCACACCACATGGTCAGCACATAATGTCGATTACCTCTTCGTGGTGTCAAAGTACTATTGTTGCTTTGAAGTCCGCATAAAACTGAGGAAATGTAATGTAATAATATGAGTAGGTACCACGAGGGAGATTGCAACTACCACCGTATGTGCCAGTCCATAACATCAGTTTGGTTGATGCGCTCTGGTTGTCCTTGAACGTGATGAGAATCGGTGAGCTGACCAATATGCAGTGACCCGATCACAGGGTGATTTCATTGTTTCAACTTATTTTCATGATCGAAAAACCAACAATTATCTGATTTCTTATGCTTGGTACAGTATTCAGCATAAAGTTTGCTTGTCACTTTTCCTGTCGCCAACTATTGTTTTAATCTAACTAGTTTACAGATTATAAAACATTGTTTTTTCTTGTTTGAAACCTTCAAAGTCACTTATTTTGTCCAGTCACAAAATTGTGAATATTGATAAACAAATAATTTAACACATTTTTGGGGTCGAACTGGTTGTTTCTACTCGGCGGTCTTTTAACTTGGGATGCTGTGTTTTGTGGCTTAACAGGGTTTTAGCATGTCAATTGAGCCACAAAGGTCACAGCAATGGCTTCATCATGATTCACAACTGGCTGCTGATGCTGGGGTAACATTCGAGCTTCAATATGTTGGTGCCATCCCAGTTCTGACATCCATAAAATCTGTGAATATAAACACCAGGACTTGGATTTGTCGGTACGGTTTAATAGCTGAAACAGCTCGACTGACATTATAGTTTACTTACATTTATTGCAGCTGTTTACAATCTTAGGTATTTATTATGTAACACATGTTCAAATGTGCAAATTTGCCATGGTAATCATATTCATATATATTTCATCTGTGAAGTTGAGTCTCGACTTACCTAAAGGCATGTCATTCATTTGTAATTCGTAGGGATAATTCAGTAGGAATACTCTTCTGCTTTGTTTTCACATCATAATTATCGTTTTACGCCTAAATCAAATCTAATTAAATGTATACGACAAAGTGATCTTCAATGTAAGGAACTCAAACATACTACGTAGTAGGAGCAGTACTGCTCCTCTTCACTCCTACCTACGAAATATATTGTCTGTTCCTGTATAAATAACTTCAAGTGCATGTCGCATAACTATGCTATGCTTCATGAGGTATGTTCCTGGAGCATATTCTGATATTTTCAAGATGCGAAATTTCGGCGAATCTATGATATGTGAACGACCTTCGAACGAATCTTAAGTGACCTTGAGAAATATTAGCTAATCAGTAGACAGTATGGAGTGAAAACATATTATGCAACACCAAAGAATTATAGTGGGTACACTTCTTTTACATGGTTCAAAAACTTGTCAAGGTTAAAAAGTTTTAAAATCGTAACGCATAAGGAAGAGGAACTCATCTATATGGCTCCATAATACTCGGTCTCTGGAGCCACAACAATGATTAAAATTTGCCTCAGTCTCAATCTGGATCAAGAAAAAAAGTTACTATTCTAGCAGACTTCTCCCTTTAATATACATAACATCGACGTAGTCTGCGCAAGGTCTACAAGTCAATTGATTACCGTTATTACAAATAAAGGAACTTCTTAGTAGTAGACCTTGAAATCCCTCAGACGCTTCTGATTGGCTTGTCCTTAAATCATAGTCTCGCTGGCAGAGTTCCTTAAAATCCCATTAATTCGTGAGGAATCTTATTGTCTTCACGGTCTGGTATATCGAGTATTGTAACCATCCGGAAGTGTGTTTTCAAAAATTTTCTACTTATGTTTGGTTTCCAAAGAAATGTTTGACTATCATAGTGCATAGATTTAGGCCACTAATTCAGTCAGTATATTTTGAGTCTGTAACGTATCCTACGTAATTAAGTTTGAATAGTCCGTTAGCACTAATTTCTTGTATGTGTATTTACCGATATTGTTATTGAGTGATAGAATTTTTCTAAACGTTGAACCATTATCCTCCAAACTCATAAAATGTTTACCTTAGGTTATCGGAATCCTAAGCCTAACAAGTCTTTACGAACACGGAAGGACTGAGTGGGTTTCCAGTTGGATGAAGGTTGCCTCTGAAATCACGTCAATGTTTATCAGTAATGAAGCCGTGAATGAAAGTATCTAGCTTTAACTAGAAAATTTGATGTTAGTGTTTCATTATAAACTAATAATTGTGACCATACGCAGACCTCCACAGTAAGTTATTCTCATATACATACTGAGAGTAAACTGCTTTTAAATGCTACACTCAAAGTCGTCAGTATGTACACGTAGTTATTCATAGGTGACGTGGAACCTGGGATGTATGTGTACATCAGTTCACATAACATCACTTCAGTGAAATGAAGTCAAGATAAATACCAAAGTAATAGAAGTAGTATCATTAAAAATAAAAAAATGGAGTGTAGACAGAAAATATGACCCGAACAGAAAGCATGAGCTGACGGAATAAAAGGTGTGAAGTAATTTCAAGACTTAGGATCTAATGGAAGACACGGTAAGTGTATCTGTGCTGTTGCGACTGATTCTGAACCCTATTATTCAACTTCTGTAATTATTTGCCACAGTAGTCAAGTGAAATACGAAGCGTTTTCATATATTTCTATCTGTAATCCCAAGGTCCAAAGGCGAAGTCGTACTGCCGACTGTACAGAGGTGTGAAAGCAGTAAGGTGTTTCCTTCAGACAACCAGCATGACAGCGATGCTGCCTTCCCACAAGGAGGGGTGGGGTTAGAAAAGGTCGACCCTAAAAATACACACCTCGCCTTATCCCACAGATTTCCGTCTCCGACGGCAAGGTCCTTTGAAGAACGGAACTAACACGTCAAAAAGGCTGTGCGTGACTGGCCTCAAGCAGTTGTCCCTTGGGCACTGCAGTCACGCTCCCAGGTCGTTAAGACCAACACTAATCCGACTTCTTTTTAAGGTCCCTCAAGAAATACCCTTCCACAGTGTGGGCAGCCGGAAAGTGATATTAGCCCTCATACCCGTAACAACACACGAGACCAATTTGGTCACTTTCAAATCCTTCCTACACCTCCTAATAACTCTCATATCTCCACGACTAACCCTTACCACGTCCTTTTATCACCTCGCACCTCTAGGGCAAACGATTCAAGTACACGGAACGTTATTCCTGGTCTTCTGAAACCACGCTCTAAACTACATATAGGAACTTTTAATGTCCGAACATTGTCCCAAATAGGACAACAAGCTTCCTTAGCTAGGACTCTAGAATCTTACGCCATCGATGTGTGCTGCGTCTCCGAAACGCGCATACAAGATCCGAGTAGTGTCATTCATTTGACCTCACTATGTCATAATAAAGAACCATCTCGATACACGCTCTGTGTATCTGGAAGCCCTGATGCTGCTTCCCGTGGCCTCGCTGGAGTAGGTATAGCATTAAGTCCTAGGGCAGAACTAGCTCTTTCCGACTGGATCCCAGTAGACAGTCGTCTATGCGCTGTGCGACTAAACGGATCAGTAAAGACTCGGAAAAATAGGGAAACTCGTCGTTGTCTCTTCATCATCTCTGCCTACTCTCCCACTGACTGCAGCTCAGACGATATAAAAGATGAGTTTTACAGGAAACTTTCTGACCTCCGAAAAGCTAGGCGTTCTGATGTAGTAATAGTGGCTGGTAACTTTAATGCTCAAGTAGGTAAACTAAGCTAAAGGGAAAGACACCTGGGAGGATCTTATGGTTTCGTAGCTAAAAGGACAGATAATGGCGACCGTCTGTTGCAGCTGTGCTCAGATAACCGCCTATTTCTTGCAAATACTAACTTTAAGCATAAGGAAAAACATCTTTTGACATGGTGACCCCCGAATTCGTCCCAACGTTGTACCCAATTAGATCACATCGCTATCAGCCACCGATGGAGGTGCTCGATAGAAGACTGTCGCTCATTCTGGAGCACATGTTTAGATTCAGATCATGCTCTAGTGCGAGCACGTATCTGTCTGCGTCTTACTGGACGTAGGAAAGACACTGCAGGGAAGCCTCTAGGGGTTCTACTTAATGATAGGCAAGCTAAGAATATATTTCAGGAACAACTAGAAAAACAGTTAGGCAGCCATGTAAGTCGTGTCCACCCCGAGGCAGCGTGGAATGACATCCGAAAAGCTGTGGAAACAGCAGTGATATCCGCTAGTAAGGTAAACCATAACGTTAGGGAGAAACAATGGATCTCGGTAGCATCTACCGTACTGATAGATGCTCGTAAACTCATCCCACCTGGCTATGAACATAACGAAGAGCGGAGTCAACTTAAGCGCAGGCTTATAAGAAGCCTACGTAATGATCGTGAACAGTGGTGGGTAGCGAAAGCAAGAGAGATGGAAAAGGCAGCGGCAATAGGTAACAGTAGGCAGCTATTCAGACTTATTAAAGAAACCAGCATTAGGAACCGAACTATTAGCGAAACTATCTCAGACAAAGATGGGAATATCATTCATTCTCAATCCAGGAGATTGGATCGATGGGCAGAACACTTTAGGGATCAGTTCAACTGGCCTTCAGCCACACTTCAGTTACCCACAATCCCCAGTCGTCCTGAATGGCAAATTGAGGTAAGTCCTCCAACTCTCTGTGAGGTTGAAAAAGCTATAGGAAATCTAAAGCGAGGGAGAGCCGCAGGCCCTGACAGGTTTACCCCTGAGATTTTTAAGGATGGTGGTCCAGTAATAGCAACGAGTTTGACTGAGGTCTTAGGTAGAATCTGGGAACTGGACGTAATTCCATCTGACTGGTCCTAATCACTGATTGTGCCAGTCTATAAGAAAGGACAAACGTCCTGCTGTGACAATCACAGAGGGATCAGTTTGACTAATTTAATGTCTAAAATATTAGCTTCAATAATACTAGGTCGCCTGACCAAAGCTCGTGAAGAGCAGACTAGAGAAAACCAGGTTGGTTTTCGACCTGTACGTGGTTGCATAGACCAGATATTCACTCTACGTCAGGTCCTAGAACATAGACATACATTCAGACGACCCACAAAAGTAGTATTTCTTGATCTTAAGGCGGCATTTGACTCCGTTGATCGTGAGGTTCTATGGCAGTGTTTGTCAGTGAAAGAAGTACATTAACCTCATAAAGGCTCTCTACTCGAAAACAACTGGTCGAGTTAGAGCTTATAGCGAACTGTCATCAGAATTGGTTACCTCAAGTGGTGTTCGTCAGGGCTGTCCGCTCTCCACATTCTTGTTTAACTTTGTCATTGACATGATTTTAGAGATATCACTTTCATCATCTCAATCTCCTGGAGTTGAACTTTTACCGGGAGATTCACTTGTTGACTTAGAATACGCCGACGACATAGTTTTATTCGGTGAAGACGCTGACAAAATGCAGAGTCTTCTGACCACTATAAGCAACTATGCAGGCATGTTCGGGATGCGATTCTCTCCCTCGAAGTGCAAAATGTTACTTCAGGATTGGGTTGCATCGACACCTGAACTAATGATACGGAGTGAAGTAGTTGAGCGTGTTGACAGCTTCACTTATCTTGGGAGTCTCGTCAACCCTTGTGGTCTGGTCTGTGACGAAATCTCAGCACGGATACAGAAGGCTCGTCTAGCTTTTGCCAACTTGCGTCATTTATGGCGTAGGCGAGATATCCGTCTAGCAACAAAAGGACGGGTTTACTGTGCAGCAGTTCGTTCCGTCCTACTTTATGGCAGTGAAACATGGCCGATAAGAGTAGAGGATATTCGTAGGCTACTAGTATTCGATCATAGGTGTCTTCGACGCATTGCTCGTATATCCTGGGGCCACCGGGTAAGTAATGCAGATGTTAGGAAACGGGTACTAGGTAAGGATGGCAAATCGATTGATGAAGTAGTGAAACTTCATCAGTTGAGATGGCTGGGACATGTGTTACGTATGTCCAACCACCGAGTGCCCCGACGTGCAATGCTTTATGGTGTAGGAGCAGGTTGGAAGAAAGCTAGGGGCGGCCAGACCAAAACATGGCATAAATCCTTGAAGTCGCTGACAAGTGGACTGGGCCGTGTTGGTAGGTGTAGACTACCTGGTTGGGATTCGCGAGATGATAGCAACCGATAGTTAGAGACCTTGAATGACATGGCTCAAAATCGTTTGCAATGGCGCAGGTGCATCCACTCTTTGTGTTCTACCAAATTCTAATCTTCTGAATTCTTCATGTCCGTATCCTTTTTCTCTTTCCAAATTTACTTCACTGTATTATACTCCTTCAATAACATCTTCAGACCCTTATCTTTCACATAATACTTATACTCTTACTACTTCTACCAATATGGGATTTGAATCAACAACTTCATCTCTGTGCTAATGTGGTATGGCAACTCGAACTGATGTACGTACGTACGAAGTTCTACGTTGTAACTGACTGACTGATAGTGGTGAGTAATGTAATTGAATATCCCAACTACTTATTTGTCATCATTTGTTTTGGATTAGGTTAAGTTTGATACAATACACCAAAATATTTTTCTGTTTCTCATTTGGCTTTGTAGCCTTTTGTTGATTACTCCAAATATTTAGTTTCAAATACTAAATCCTTATGTTGACTAATCGAATTTAGTAGTGAGAACTGGTTCATAAGCTTCAGTCGGCATGAGTGTTTAAACAGTTGTTATCTCTATAACAATTGATTTGCGCAGAGTAACTTACTAACAACCTAGATTTTATAGTGATTATGTATGTAACTTAACCTCTCGAATTAGAAAACAAAAATTGTTCAAATACTCTTAAATTCTCTCCTATTCTTACTTGCAGTGCATCAATACGTCGTGTATGCGAAGATGTTGGTCTAACATTACCAAGTAACCGACCAGCTGACAAGTCAATAGAACAGTTCATTGGCCCATCCACTGATATGACATGGGCAATGGTGAATGTATACCTTACAATCACATCACAAACACTCACCGTTGAAACAATTGACAATGGTGTGGTATGTAGTACATCTAATTTTTGCGTTTTGTTTTGGATGAATGCATTCGTTAGATAAGCAATCAAATCTTAACTCATGAAATTGATAAGAGTACTATTTTTTAACACTCTTGTCAGAAATCGCTCTTATGATGATGATACAATACAAAGGTATTGTATGAAATGATGGTTGAAAATACACCAATTATTAGACATATAAATCAACTGTGAGATAGAAAAAATGTTACTAAGTCATCTTAACCCAAACCCTTTGCCAATGGGAATATTATGTGATAAATTTAATATCCCAGTACCACAACAACAAGTTGAAGTGAGTAAAAATGAGTTGAAATCAGAAGCTAGCCGAAGGTCATCAAGAGAACAGAAACAGACAAGATTTTTTTCAAATAAACCTAAAGGTGAAGTCATACGATCAAACTTCGCGAGGGAGATGATGTGTGGGCAAGAATGATAATGATTGGTTGTTTGCTTAGTCAGACTTGTAGACAGTCTGACTGGTACTAGATGAGTTATATATTCTCTTACAGTTATTGTTATTGCTGTTGGATTATTGTCGGTTTTTGGTGTGGAAATATATTTACGTTCTAGTCAGGCTAATTACGTGTTCTTGATCTGAGTTGTGTTAAAGTCCTGTAGAATAGACACTGAGAGGGAATACAGTGTACATATTCGTCTAAGGCAAATTAACGTCTCATTCGTGTAGATGTGGGAAACCGACCGTTATAACAGATATAATACGGGAAGAAAGAATTGGTTTGTAAAAATAAAGGCATAAAGTAATTTTAATCTCACGGGTCGAGGGAAGACAAAGAATGTATACACCTAGGTTATTTAAATCAATTCTGAGCCATATCACCCAGTCTCCAACCATTGGTTACAATAGTCGCGCGGACTCCAACCAAGTAGTCTGCATCTACCGACATGGCTCAAACCTTTCTGCCGTCACACCTCTGTACAGTCAACAGTACGACTTCGCCTTCGGATTTTCTGCTTTTATTCTTACTGCTCTTCAACCGATCTGCTCGGTATGGTAGGATCTTGGGGGAAAATGTCTTGTCCGGTATAGCTTGGTTGGATCATTACAACAGGCAAGCCCGACCACTTCGTCAAGGTAGCAATAACAGTCGGGAAAAGCTATGTTTAATCAGACTAAATTTTTCTCTGATTGCCACTTAAGGATATTCGTTTTTGTACCAATTATAATAGCCATAAGGTAGTTACTAATGCTTTTCCCTGGTTCTGGGAACTAACTCAATAAAATCTTGACTCACAGACATACAAGGGGAGATTTAACCAATACACTTAAACTATCATCTACTAAGGAATGTAGAGACAACTCATCACAACCTGAAATACCTGTACTAAGTTAGAAGAGGGTCCATGCAGGCATTCTTTGTATATTGGTCAACAGAAGTGTAGAAAATAGTCTATTCTAATGCATTTTATGGTTTTTCCTCCATAGTCTTAGTCACTCGCTGGAAAAATGCATCAGTGATCCTGATATTGCTGGTTACTGGACTTCTCAGTACCGTTTCCGCAATATGTTTTAAAGACCACCGTATAATTCTATATGTCACTTCATTTCTTTTCCTTCCCCTGTTCACCTCTTATCAAACACCTAGGTATTTTGTTATTTTTCAATTTAGTCCCCACCAATCCCCTTGTGTTAAGAGCTGGTTGGAACGCCTATAAATTCTCATTAAAGTTTTCTAGTTTTTTATCTGTAAAAGTTTGTTAACATTACTGCTATTTGGGTTAGCCTGTAGAGGATTTAATTCCTCTATATCTGACTGCAATAAATGAATATCCCGCTAACTGATATTTACTGCAGGCTAAATCTCCTAATAGAATTACGGGTTTACTCGAGATTATTGAAAAGCCTGAACACCAGTTATAGAGATAGTTTATTGATGAAGCTCGGTAAAAAATCCACAAGCGTACAGAAAGCAAGTGAGTGTGTGTGCGTGTGAGTGTTAAAAATCCATATATATTGATGAGTGTTAATGGTTGTGGATAAATTATTGATTGTCTTTGTTTACAACCAATGAGAGAATAGATTAAAGATTGATGTGCAGACATATGCGCTCAATCAGACTCACACATAAATTTACAAAGTGGATTAAATGTTAGGATTACAGAGAGCACACAAAAAATACAGTAGTTTAATGGGCTTGCTACAAGCCCATATTTGTCCCATGCCTTCTGTAAATGATGACTGTGCCTCAGCGATTTGTACAGACTATCGACTTGATCGCACAAAAGGTTGGAATCAGATCTATAGTTAAAATTAACCGTACTCTCTTACTAGAGCTTCGTCAATATCCAACTGTCCCTTAATTGTAATGCACTATTGATACAGGCAATTGATTCGAGAGTCATGTCTTATGATCAATGTGAGAAGTTCATCATGGACACTGGGAACTAGGATGAATATGCATGTAAAAACATCACACAGCAGTTGATGTGGCAGTGATGAGGCTGTGACATATATCTAGATACTTGCATTCCAGTTGTGAGTGTGAACCTTGGAAAATAGATTCACACTGGAGAAGAATCTTGAGTGAGTTGAATAAGACACTACTAGTTCATAAGATCACAAGCTGCTACCCTCCGTCTTATAGAGGTGTTTACTTGTTGAGTCTGTCCTTCAGAATAGTAGTAAACGTAATAGCTGACGACTTGAGCTAACATTTAATAGTCGATCATAGCAGATTCATTTTTACAATCTTTTGGGAATAAGATATATTACAGCTCCCTACTTATTTCCATTTTTCGACTCATTTGCTTCTCGACCGCTTTGTTAACATAGATTATCCTGACCGTCTGATTTTCTACGCTCTACTTACCATTGATTTTCCTTTCTTTTTGCATTAAAATTTACCGTGCTTAGATTTAATTGACCAAAATAGGCATTCGTCTTCACACTTTGGTAAAATATCAGTCAGTGTTTTCTTCAATGATTAATGGTGGGTGGACTTTTTTAACGTATAATAATATATGTTCACTTGACTTTATTTAATAATTATTTCTTTTTTTTTATTTACTCAGTTATTATTCCAGCACAACCTATTCCTGGTTTCTTTTGCTTCCGCTGGGGATGCAGATACTCCAGATTTCATTTGTTATGTGGCCAAAACAGATCAAGACACTCGTATGTGTTACGTTTTTGAATGTTCAGATGGTCTTGCCCAGGATGTAATTATTACAATCGGGCAAGCATTCCAGTTAGGATATCAGGTGAATATTAACACGAATTCACATCTGCAAATTGTCATGTGCACTTGTCCTTTAGAGTGTAGTGTCTTACCCCAAGTTTTGGAGTAGAATGTTCCATGAAGCATAACTAAGATTCTGGTCGTTAGTATAGCTTTTTGTCACTGTAACAATTAATAACTTGTAGCAAGTTAAAATAGGTAGCTTAATATCATTAGCCATTTTCCCTAACATATGGTCAGAAATCCATCTTAGCAGATTTTAGTCAATAGGAGTAAAAATATCTAACATTTAGAGGATAAGATAGCTTAATTTTTTCCCTTGTTGTCTGATATGAAATGTAACCACTTGAAATATAGCCTGTGCTATATTTCAATTTGTTAGTGTTAGTTTAGTGTTTTGATCACTGAATCTCTTATGTCCATATCTCATCCCATTTAATTCTCTGTGAGCAGTCGGGGTGTATCTTTAGAACACAGTGTTAAACAGTCTAAACTAAAGTGAATAAGTAAACCTGTAAATGAAATAGACATTTTTATAGTCGGTGACGAAGCATATTAATTACTATGAGGATTCGGCGTTTCTGAATATGTGGGCATAAAAATGGTGGTCATTTATAGATGATCCTTTATTTTATACACTTTGTTATAATGAGTAAATTTACTTACTTACTTACGCCTGTTACTCCCAATGGAGCATAGGCCGCCGACCAGCTTTCTCCAACCCACTCTGTCCTGGGCCTTCCTTTCTAGTTCTATTCAGTCTTTGTTCATTTCTCTCATATGTGTTTCCATTTCTCGTCGAAATGTGTTCTTCGGTATTCCTCTTCTTCTTTGGCCTTCAGGATTCCATGTGAGGGCTTGTCTTGTGACGCAATTAGGTGATTTCCTCAATAAGTGTCCCATCTACTCCCAACGCTTCTTCCTCCACTGAAATCTGGTTAGTTCTCTCCCACAATAGAATGTTGCTGATAGTGTCTGGGCAACGGATCCGAAGTATCGTGGGTAGACAACTGTTAATAAACACTTGTATCTTCTGGATAATGGCTTTCGTAGTTCTCCACGTCTCCGCCCCATACAGTAGAACTGTCTTGACATTTGTATTGAAAATTCTGATGTTGGTGTTGGTTGACAATTGTTTTGAGCTCCAGATGTTTTTCAGTTGTAGGTATGCTGCTCTTGCTTTGCCGATCCGCGCCTTCACATCTGCATCTGATCCACCGTGTTCATCAATGATGCTGCCCAGATATGTAAAGGTTTCCACATCTTCCAAAGCATCTCCATCAAGTGTAATTTGATTGGTGCATATTGTGTTGTATTGGAGAGTCATGCTTTTCTTTTTGTTTATATTGAGACCTACTGCTGCTGAGGCTAATACTACACTGGTCATTTTCTCCTGCATTTGTTGTTGCGCTTGTGATAGAAGAGCCAGATCATCCGCGAAGTCTAAATCGTCAAGCTGCATCCTGCCTATCCACTGTATCCCTTGGTTTCCTCCAGATGTTGACATCTTCATGATCCAGTCGATGACCAGGAGAAAGAGAAAGGGTGAGAGTAAGCAACCTTGTCTAACACCGGTCTTTACTTGAAACGAGTCGGTGAGTTGTCCTCCGTGGACGATTTGGCAGTTTGGTCCATCATAGGAGTTCCGTATGATATTGACTATCTTCTCAGGTACATCGTAGTGTCGAAGAGGCCTCCATAGTGTCGTCCTGTCCACGCTATCAAATGCCTTCTCGTAGTCGATGAAGTTGATGTAGAGTGGTGAATTCCATTCGGTTGTTTGTTCCACAATGATGCGTAGAGTTGCGATTTGATCTGTGCACGATCTATCCTTACGAAATCCAGCTTGTTGGTCTCGAAGTTGGGCGTCCACGGAATCCTTCATCCTGTTTAACAATACTCTGTTGAAGACTTTCCCTGGTATTGAGAGAAGAATGATGCCCCTGTAGTTGTCGCACTTGCTGAGATCGCCTTTCTTTGGTATCTTGATCAGAAGTCGTTTTTTCCAGTCTATTGGTACTTGTTCTTCATCCCAAATCTTACTGAAGAGAATGTGGAGTATCTTTGCAGTTGCTGCTACATCTGCTTCCAGTGCCTCTGCTGGAATGTTGTTTTGTCCCGTTGCTTTGTCGCTCTTGATTTGTCTGATGGCCTTGCTTTTCACTAGTCGTTCTCGTTTCTTTGTTGAGTCATACAATTGTCTCTTGCAGCCTTTTCCGCCGTCATTTCTAAATCTCCCACATATTTACGTTTGTCGGTTCTGATGCTCCTCTTCGCTTGCTTGTTTGCCTCTGTGTATTCGGCTTGTGCCTTGGCTTTTTCTGTTCTTGTTCGGGTGGTATTGATTGCTGCCTACTTGTTCCTCCTTTCTTCAATTTTATCCAATGTACCAACAGTGATCTATTCCTTGTGATGATGCTTCTTTTGGCCCAGAACCTCTTGACATGTTGAAACGATTGCCTCCTTGATACCTTTCCAGTTGCTCTCCATGGTAGTCCCCTCTCCATTGAGTAGATCATGAAAGGCCTCGAACCTGTTGCTGAGGGATATGTTGAATTTGTTGAGTTTGTCAGCATCTCGAAGAAAGGCCGTATTAAACTTTTGTGATGTTGTCCGCGCCGTTGTCCAGTGCTTCTTGAGTTTTAGTTTCATCTTGGCGACCAGCAAATGATGATCGGATGCTACATCAGCTCCTCTTCTGGTTCTCACATCCTCCATCGTCCTCCTGAACGTTTTGTTGATGCAGATATGGTCGATTTGATTATGTGTAGTGTGATCCGGTGAGATCCATGTAGCTTTGTAATTGCGCTTGTGTGGGAATATTGTGCCGCCTATAACCAATTTGTTGAATGCACATAGGTTTGCAAGTCTCTCCCGAATTTCCTTCCTTTCTCCCAGTCCATGTCGTCCCATGACGTCTTCGTATCCAGTGTTGTCCATTCCAACCTTGGCCTTGAGATCTCCCATCAGAATTGTCAGGTCCTTGGTTGGGCATTTCTTGAAGGTCGACTGCAGTCTATCGTGGAACTGGTCTTTAGCGTCTTCATCGTAGTCGTTGGTAGGCGCATAGCATTGGATGACGTTCATTGTAATGCCCTCTCTCTTTGTTTTGAAGGAAGCTTTGATGATCCTTGGTCCATGAGATTCTCATTCAATAAGTGTATTTTGTGCTTTTCTGAACAGCATCAATGCAACTCCTTGTGTATGTGGGGAATATTCTTCTTCATGACCGGAGTATAACAGAAGTCCTCCTGAAAACAGTCGTTGTTGTCCAACCTGCGCCCAATGTGTTTCGCTGATTCCAAGAACCTCCACGTTGTATTTTCTCATTTCTGCAGCAATTTGGAAGACTCTTCCGGTCTCCCACATTGTTCGGACATTCCATGTACCTATAAAAATTGTCGCTCTGGTTGTAAGAAGGTGCATCGGCCTCATGACTTCCGAAGGAACTCGGCTTTCATCATGAGACGTCATAATTATTCCTTCTACTCCCAGGGCAGAGTTTGAATGGTTTGAAGGATTTTTTCTGGCTAGTGTTTTTTTAGCGAGTTGATTTTCTACGGGATGGGGTCGCTAACCCCATGCTCAACCCTCCTCCTTTACCCGGGCTTGGGACCGGCAGTAACCCCCAGAGGATCTACAGGCGGAGTTAAAGAGTAAATTTAACTTGATATCAAATCATTTCAATCTTTTTATTCTACCGTCTAATTCAGTATATCATCAGTTATGAATGGTAAACGTAAACCAAATCATTACATTCGTAGCTAAACTCTAGTCTAACATTGTTACTTTTGTTCAAAGTTTACGTAGTTTAGTTTTCTCTTGCTCAAACAATGCCTTACATTATTGGTTGATTAGTGCTGTTATATTACTAGTTTGTGATTTGATCTTAATCAGCGTAGGGAAACCTCGATAATAAACTTCGAGACTGATAGACTAATGAATAAACAAGGCTGACAAAAGGTATAATTATACGATTTCACCCATGTGTGTTATTTTCGTTAGGTTTGTGCCCCCAATTGCCCTGGTACGGCTCTCCCTCTTGAAATGCTCTCACACGACCACGCGAATATATAGCCTCTGCCAGGGAAGTCCTACTCACTGCCGTCTCGTGGCGCGGGTGTTGTTTACGAAAGTGAAAGGATGAAAAGCCAATGTCCGGCGCTTTAACCGGGTCGGCGGACACGGAAAGTTCACCTAGGGGGGTTGGAAAACCCTGATTCCAAACCAATGGTGCACATGGGTTCCAGTATCCTGAGGAACAAATGGCGTATGAACAAATCGTTGGTCACCGGCTACCGTGAGACTGCATCTCCTTACAATGCTCCAGTACCTTATGGATCAAGCCTTTAGGTCAAAGGCTCCGGGTGTGGCTCCCTAAGAAAACCACCTGCTTCAGTTTGGGCACCTGGGCAGTATCACAGTCAGTCAGCTACAACGTAGGACCAGGCACATATATGCATCGGTCCAAGTTGCCATACCTCGTTAGCACAACAAGAGGAACACCGGATTCATAGTAGTTAATCTAGTGTTGGTAGTAGTATATAAATTATAGGTTGTATATAAGGATATAGTACAGGAAGGAAGAGAGATATGAAGCAATTTTAGTCTCAAGGTTTAAGGGAAGATAAAGAGTGTATACACCTACGCCATTGTGACCGATTCTGAGCCATGTCACCTAGAGTCTCCAACCATTGGTTACGATAGTCATGCGGACCGAAACCAGGTAGTCTGCATCTGCCAACATGGCTCAGGCTAGAAGTTAGTGTCTTCAAGCACTGATGCCATGTTTTGGTTTGGCCGCCCCTAACTCTCTTCCAACCATCCCCTACACTAGTCAGTATGGAGCGTCGTGGTAATCGGTGTTCAGGCATACGTAACACATGGCCCAACCATCTGAGTCGATGAAGATTCATCACCTCATCAACTGATTTACCATCACTCCCTGATACCCTGTCTGACCTCACTATTACTTACCCAGTGATCCCAGCAGATGCGAGCTATATTTTCAAGGAATCTGTGGTCAAATACGAGTATCTTCTACTCTTAATGGTCACGTTTCACAGTCGTAAAGTAGAACAGAACGAACTGTTCCATAGTATACTCGTCCCTTAATTGATAGACGGATATCTCGTCTTCGTAATAGGTGACGTAAGTTGGAAGAAGCTAAACGAGCCTTTTGAGTCCGTGCTGAGACTTTGGCAGACACCAACACATTAAGGCTGATCAGAATTCCAAGATAAGGGATGTTGTCGATGCATTCGACTACTTCACTCCCTATCCTTAGTTCAGGTTTTGACGCAGGCCAACCCTGGAAAGACAATTTACATTTAGATGAGGAGGAACGCGTTCCAAATATTCTGGCATTGTTACTTAGTGCTAACAGAAGATTCTGCATTTTGTCAGCATCTTCACCAAACAGGACTATGTCATCTGCGTATTTTAAGTCGCTTAGTGGTCCCCCTGGTAGGAGATCAATTCCTGTAAATTCAGTCGAAGAAAGTGTTATTTCCAGCAACAGGTCTATAATGAAGTTAAACAAAAATGGGGATAGTGGACAGCCTTGTCGGACACCACTTGAGGTTGTAAAATCATATGACAGTGCGCCATAAGCTCTCACTTGACTGGTAGTGTTCGAGTAAAGAGCCTTCACAAGGTTTATGTACTTCCCAGGTACACCTTTCAATGACACACTGCCACAGAACCTCTCGGTTTACAGAGTCAAATGCTGCTTTCAAGTCAAAAAAAACTATCATTGTCGGACGCCGATAAGCGTGTCTGTGCTCTAAAACTTGACGAATGGTGAATATGTGGTCGATACAGCCACGATCAGGTCTGAAGCCAGCCTGATTTTCTCGTGTTTGCAGTTCACGAGTCTTAGTTAGGCGCCCGATAATTATTGAGGCTAGTATTTTAGATGCTATGTTGGTCAGACTAATCCCTCTATGGTTATCGCAGGATGATTTTGACCCCATTTTATATATTGGGACAATCAGTGATTGTGACCAGTCGGTTGTGATTACATCCGTCTCCCAGATTTTAGCCAGAGTATTAGTCAACTTAATCGCTAAAATCGGACCACCATATTTAAAGACCTCTGGAGCCAATCCATCTGAACCAGCTGCTCTTCCTCGTTTCAGATTACCTATAGCCTTTTGAACTTCAAGTAGGGTCGGGGGGCCTACTTCAATGTTCCATTCAGGTTTTCTAGGAACAGTGGGTAGTTGTGCAGTAGCTGAAAGCCAGCTAAACTGCTCCTTAAAGTGTTCCGCCCATCGTTCTAAACGTTTGGGTTGAGAGTAGATAAGTGTTCCGTCTTTATCGGAGATTGTCTCACTTACACTTGACTTCTTAATTCCGGTTTCTTTTATTAGTTGCCTGGTGTTCCCTACAGCCGCTGCCTTTTCCATCTCTTTTGATTTCGTTGCCCACCACTGCTCACGATCGTTCCTTAGACTTTTAGTCAACCTAGATCTAATTTGTTTACGCTCTTCGTCATGTTCAGAGCCTGATGGGATGAGTTTACGCGAATCCATCAGTGAAATAGACTTAGAAGAAATCCATTGGTTTTTTGGAGCCCTATGGTTTAAATGACTACTAGATGTTACTGCTGTTTCCACAGCTGTTCGTATGTCTTTCCAAGCAGCATCTGTGTCAGACTTGTTTACAGAACTGCCTAGATGTGAACTCAGATGTTTCTGGAATTCGCATTTGGCTTTCTCGTCCTCCAGTTTAATCCTAATGGGTCTTCTTAGTGTACTTTTCCTGCGTCCATTGAGGCGCAGACAAATGCGCGCTCGTAGCGAAGCGTGATCAGAGTCTAAACAAGTATTCCAATACGAGCGACAATCTTCTATTGAGCCTCTCCAACGATGACTGATGACAATATGGTCTATTTGAGTCCATCGTTGGTTTGGTGCAGGTGGTCGCCATGTTAGACGATGTCTCTCCTTATGTTTAAAATTAGTGCTTGCTAAAAATAAACGATTGTTTGAGCATAGTTGCAACAGACGATCACCATTATCGGTTCGTTGAGCCGGAATACTAAAACACCCACCTAAATGTCTTTCTGTTTGATTCAAGCTGCCTACCTGGGCATTTAAGTCACCCGCTATGAGTACTATGTCTGAGCGCTTAGCTTTCTGAAGAAGCTCAGAGAGCTTTCTGTAAAAGTCATCTTTCACTTCATCATGGCTGCAGTCAGTGGGGGCGTAGGCAGAAACGACGAAAAGTCAACGACGTGTGTCCCTATCCTTTCGAGTTCTTACGGAGCCATTTAGGCAGTATCACAGCCCTCACACAAATCAAATGAGATTTGTGCGGCGCATATTTATCTGGTGCTTCTTTGTACCAATATTTATGTGCTTAAATAAATAAATTGTTAGGTTTGTACCTTCAATTTACTTTGATCATATAAAAAAGGAATAGTAATAGTGATATGTGTGCGAGAATGACAGTGATTGGTTGTCTTGATGAGTCAGACATTAGATAAGATGACAGGTGTTATGTGTTATATATTCCCCTATCCTTATTATGTATTGATACTTGATGTTGGATACTTATTGATTGACTGTTCTTTGTGTCGGATTTTGGTGTGGAAATATATTGACGTTATAGTCAGGCTAATCTCGTGTTCTTGATCTGAGTTCTGTTGAAGTCCTGTAGAATAGACACTGGGTGGAAATCTAGTGTAGATATTCGTCTAAGGTAAATTAACTTCCCACATACGTGTAACAAGTGAAAGGACTGTTATAACCAGAAACCGCTAGCGTTATAACCAGTATCCTCTATTCTCCTCTACGTTTATAACAAATAGTATTTAACTTATCAGACGCTAGTAAACAGTGAACGTTTAGACTTTTTTTCTAGCCATTTTCGGAACAAAAAGCTTTCACAATTTGAACATTATTCTTTATTTTATCTTTATATTAATTTATTTTATCAATATATTATCTTAACCACTCTATTTATTTTTTGTATAAATACGAATAAAATTAGGATTTAAAAAATTCTAAACCACAAATTGTTGATAACCAAACATCTTCCATTAAACTAAATTCATTGAATTCATTATTTTCTAATCATCAAACAAATATATCAATGTCTAAAAATTCTATTGGTAATTCAAACAAAATTTCACCTATTGATGGTACTAATTGTACACATCATGTGAGTTAGCTTTATTATTTTATTTATAATGTTTAGTTTTTGTAATGTAAAATTAAAATACAATAGATGTGTAATTTTGTTCTATTTGAATTATTTATCTGTTAATTGACATATTTATGTTGGCATCAACCATGAATACATTCAAATCGATAAATGTTATGTTTGGTTTGTTCAAGCAATAAATGTACACATACTGTTTACTAGTAGGACTCAATATGTGTAATTCATCATTTGGATTGTTGGTCATACAATTTGTTCTCCAACTGGTACTTCTGTGTCTAATGAGTGAGTAAAACTAAAAAGTTAGTGCATGGATTAAGGTGTTAAACTATATGGAGGTAATATCAGCTGATAAACTAAGTAGGATGGTTTTTGAATTGAGTGACCTAATAGGTGGGAGTTTTCCTTGAGTCAACGGAAAATAATGTTGTAATAAAGAACACGTATTTTGCCAGTCATCAGGAACTCCTGTCTTCTACCTTTGGTTGAATAGACTAAGTTAACAAACTATGCATATCTGATGTGTCACTTATCAAGGCGTTAGATAATTTACAAAAGTCGATAAAGTCATTGTTCAGCGTTTGATAATGATAATATTTCCCCTCCATTGTCTCAGGGTTCCTTTCGTTATATTTGGTGACCTTTATATATGTTCTTATATTTGCTCCAAGTGGAGCTGCTCCTGATAGAATTAGGAGAAAACATGATCCTTACATGGAACCGTCAGATGCTATGTTTTAATAAGGAAACATTATGATCACATTTCATCAGTCTTAGAAATCTGTTCACACTAAAATTACTTTTGACTTTGCGGGATCAGCTTTGGTTTTTATGATTACCATACCAGCTTAATTTTTAACGAATATCGTATAACTCTTTATCTATCTACTAAATGATTTGTATTTGTCCCACACTAAAAACAAACGAATCTACTTAACTAAATCCGGTGGACAAATGATAGATTTTTTTTTAAAAATTCATAGTTTCATCTATACCTGCTGCGAACAGGTTTTACGTTACACTTAGACTTTGTACTCCTACTCATCTATTTAATTGATTTTAGAATTGTGTGATATTTTCTTCAATTTGCAAGTGGATTGTTCACTTACTATTAAATTATATTTAAAAATTTCTCTTGGTGTTATTCTTCTCTACAATATTTATTTTCTTTCAGGTATCTGCCAATACCGCTACTTCCCTATCAAAAGAGAATACAGCATTAAATCAAAATACTTCTATGCTTAATAATAATGTTACTCATCAACCAGTAGCTTTTGATAATTTTATGGATTTTAAAGATAGTGCATGTAATGTTTATTTTTATCCATTTATTTATTATTTTAACTAATGCTTGTATACTAAGTCCCGCTATACTAAACGACTTGTCTCTTAAAACTCCTGATTCACAACAGTCCTTGTTTATAGGTTCAATACGAAGGGCTTCTAGTACACAAAATACACAGCCATGCAAAGTCATTCAATTTAGCTAAATTATCTCCATTGTCACCTTTAGATGTTAAATTTGGTAGTATCTTTTTCCAGTGTCACTATCCATGATATTTTGTAGATAGTGTAGGGTTCACTTAAATTCCTTAGAATAGAATCAAACTATCTGAATCAGCGATGTGAATATTTAGACTCAAAAATAAGTCCCCCTGTACTATAAATCACTCTCAATTAGTATATTTATTCACTCGTGTTAGCAACTACATCAGATCAGAATAATGAAACAGTTCGTCCCTGTATACTTGAATTGTTTGATAATGTACTTTTTGTTTCGAATAAATACTGTCAATCGGAATATAGATAGTCAGATTATCCACTTTTTTACTGAATTGATTTTACTCCAATATTTGAGCATAAAATGTAGATAGCACTTGACATCTTTTTTCTAACTTATATCTATGGTAGCATCATTTTCGCTGTCATAATGACGATTATTAATAAATTTTTGATGAGAAAAATACTCCTTGTTTCGACGTGATCATAATTATTTTTCACTGACATGAATGACTACAGTTAACTCGCCTTAGATTGTGTACCACATGGTTGTATATATATTTACCATTTTTATACGCAGGGCATCTTGGTAACGAAATTTCCTCGGATAACCAAACTGATAATGCAGAATACAACAAGTCATCCTGTGGCACTAAAAAAAATTCTGCCCAATCTAATCAAAATGAGTTAACACAAGAGCTCTCTCAACAACCTTCCTGCAAAATTAACAAAGCCGCCGGTGTCAAATCAATCTCTAATATAAAAGCACCGGTTGGACTTCCAAATTTTGAACATTTAGAACCAGTCGGTGAACCTTGGTATGTTGGTAAAATGTCCAGATCACAAGCCGAAAATTTGTTGCGTTATGATGGGGACTTTCTTGTACGTGCTAGCATTCAGCAGCCCGGTCAGTTTGTATTAAGCGGCCTTCAAGACGGAAAATATAGACATTTATTACTGGCCGATCCTAACGGAAAGGTAATATTCTGTTTAGGGCAACTTCATTAACCATACCATGTTTGCAAATAAAATTTCATTCATCTGCTAAAAATCTAGCAAGATATTTTTCAGGTTAACAGCCATCAGATCGGATATTTTTTCCCTGACACAGATCTATCAGCTATAGTATTTCATTAATTCAAACACCCGATCTCTCAACCATAGGGTTACAGGTCTGATTTCACCACTTCGATTCAGGTGGTATCATTGGTCTTTCCGTAACAAATGTAGTTCAAGATTGATTACAAAAAGCTTTGTTAATTTAGTATTTTGATCTCACCTAATTTCAGCCTCCTCATTGTATGCTTACAAAACAGTTTCACGAGTAAAATGCAATGTTACATCTCAATTAATAGTATTTGTATAATAAACTTGTAGTTATTGTATTAAAGCCCTTTGATTTCTAACTCTAAAAGTACTCGAAATAACGCCCCACTGAAATATGTTGGTCACACTTTTCCACTTGTACAAATATCGGAACGAATTTCACTATCTTAAACTTGTTCTGACTCGTTAGTTATTTGTATTAACCACTTGATGTAATCAGATGCTTTCACAAAACTAGTGGGAATATCACAGTCGTTAGTTAATTTTCCACGTTGTCTTCTGGGGGAACAAAGGTTGTTTACTTTGGAATTGATGGATTAAGCGAAAAATGTCAATAAAGAGGAGTTTGCTGTAATACTACTGGTTCTTTTTGACTGGTATCGAATGGAGAAATTTGTATCCAGATTGTGAAAAAAATTATTGTGAATTCTGAATGTTGGAAAATTGTGTTTATTGAAATTTTGAACCGGCTTGTATGTTTTTGACAAATTTCAGGTACGTACAAAAGAACGAGTATTTGATAGTATACAACATCTCATTGATTACCACGTACAAAATGGTGCGCCTATTCGGTCACTAGACAGCGAAATAAAATTAATATTCCCAGTATCTACACATACATTTTGCATTTCTTAATTCAATTCTTGCACGTAAGTTGTAATTACTCTTATGGATTTTTATTGTCTACAGTATCCATAACAATTTTTAGTAGCAGGAATGTTTAAGGTGTTAAACTCATATATCAATCCATCCAAATAACATATATCCTGTTGTATGTGTTAGCGAGCAACGTTAATCATTAATGACTAGCGTACACCGATTGGCTACCAAAGCTATTACTCAAATTTACATGTATCCTCGCGTCATTAGAATCGACACCTACATCAAGAGCGAAGCATGCTATAATCTGATTGACAAACTTGTACGTTAAATCTAAATAGCCAAAGCATGTTTTAATCACCTATTTTTAAAGGAGAATTTGTATGCTAGACGTTAATTCAGCAAATATTTATTTATTTAAACACATAAATATTGGTACAAGGAAGCACCAGACACATATGCACCACACAAATCTTATTTGATTTGTGTGAGGGCTGTGATACTGCCCAGGTGCCCAAACTGAAGCAGGTGGTTTTCTTAGGGGGCAACACCCGGAGCCTTTGACCTAAAGGCTTGATCCATAAGGTACTGGAGCCATTGTAAGGAAATGCAGTCTCACGGTAGCCGGTGACCAACGATTTGTTCATACGCCATTTGTTCCTCAGGATACTGGAACCCATGTGCACCATTGGTTTGGAATCAGGGTTTTCCAACCCCCCTAGGTGAACTTTCCGTGTCCGCCGACCCGGTTAAAGCGCCGGACATTGGCTTTTCATCCTTTCACTTTCGTAAACAACACCCGCGCCACGAGACGGCAGTGAGTAGGACTTCCCTGGCAGAGGCTATATATTCGCGTGGTCGTGTGAGAGCATTTGGAGAGGGAGAGTTGACTCTCCTCACACTCGGCCGTACCAGGGCATTTTGGAGCTTGTATAACTACATTTTGTCTAAGCGATTTTACTGTCCAGTGCTATGATTAATGCAGCTTTCCGGATAAACTAATAATCTTTGCTGAACTTTTAAGTTTATTTAAGCAGTCAGCTGTTATCATATCATGTAAATAATCTCAACATCTTTGAATTTCAGGATCTTTGACATGCGTGCACAATTCAGTGGCGATATACCAACAACTCAACTTTATCTCTGTGATCTACTAACTTTATTTTATACCCCATGCTTATATTGTTAAGTTGTGCTTTCTTTATCAACTTTTTACTTCATAACATTCCAAAACTGTGTAAATCGATTTGCCTACTTTTATACTAAACTTGTGCAACATGTAATGATTTTTGGCTGTAATTTATTTTACTTTCATCACATTATTTTACTAATTACCTTTTTGTTGCTGCTCTGCAAATTAATCACTGATTTCCGCATAATATGATTTTCATAATAATCCTGATATTTCGTCTTTGTAAAATTTTCCGAACTTCGAAATGTAACGAAAATCAATGAAGTGTGACAATTCATTTCATGTTCGTTTTCAAAAACATTACCTAATGATTTCACAAATACTAGATCGTATATCTGTACGAATTAGATATGGCCCGAACTTATCACGGACATGCACGCACATATAGCCATCCCTATTTCAAAGTACAATTCAGGTCCATTTCATACGATATTTACTTGCCTCAATATGTGAAAAAATTCTACCGCAGCAAACAGTAAAGTGAACTTTTAAATATGAACTGCTAAGTAAACAACTTTTGTATTTCACTCTAAAAACCTAAACTTAAGAAAAGTCATTACGGATGAAATCCAGAAATAAAAAATACCACAATTCCGTACTTGGTGGGAAATTAAGGCTGGAAATATATGTGCTATTGTCACTGGTCTTCAGCAATATCGCCTATGGTTTCCACAGTTAGTATTTCATATTACACAACTTATAATAAGATCAAAATGTCCAAGAATAGTTTGCAAAGTGTTTTTGATTATCCTGGATTTGAATTGTCTGTGGGATAATTTGCTCACATACTTCTGAATCATCGTTGTTTCACGATTCTAATCATCTCCACTAAACTATTGTGATCCAAAAGAAAGTCTTTAAAATTAACGAAACGTTTGTATGGACATTTAATCACAGATGTTAAGCTACGAGTCCCAGTTAATTTGGTCTAAATAGCAAATAGTTTAAGTTTTAACACAGTGGAAGGAGCGATTGATTCAAATTTCAACTGCTAAAAAAACAATACTCCGACGTTTTACATTTCCTTATCAACCAACTGTAAGTGGATTTTCATACCAAACGAACTACTATCATTTCCGATTTCCCGTGGTTGCGCGGCTGTGAAAAATTAATCACACAGATTATATATATATATATATACATTACTTTTTATACTATGTATAAGATATAAGCGTAAGATGAACATAAATTGTGACAAATTCATGCATAGCAAAAGTAAATCATAGTACATTGTCAGTATGCTCATTAACATATTGGTCATTCAGAGCTTAATTTATTAGAAACTGCCGCAGCTAATTCAAAGTAACGACAAAAACGTTGTCTTAATACAATGATAAAACTCCGTATATCTTCAGTCCAATTCAGGTGCTTTACAAGCCTTTCTAGATCCGGTACTGGTGGATCACACAACACGACTTCAAAGCGATTAGTATTTACAATACGAAGTTGACAACAACATACAATTACTTCATCACTACTAACCAGAGCTTCCGAACAACCATGGAACAGCAACTGTAGTAGTCCAGAATGCGTTTTCTGTATTTGAATTCCAAGTAGGCGTTCGAATGGTTGAATCATTCTATAAATTTGCATCAGTGTAGAATTTTCAAATTCACATGGAAAAAATGAATCTTCAGGAGGATTTTCAGATTCGATTTGTTTCAAGTAAGCGATCTAGGGGAAGAACAGGCAAACAAAGTTTATAAGCGGCTTAGTTGAAAAGTCCGAGTGTAAAGCACATGTGTGACAGGTACCATGAGTGTAACATAATTCGTTATATTTGCAATTAAGCTTTGACAAGTACGTTGATCAGTAATGCAAATTTAAAGCTCAGTTTTGAGCTTTCTGTTCCCTCTACAGACCTAGGATATGACGTACCGCAATTTTCATTTGCGATAATCATAGCAAATGAACTCGACCGTGGTTGCCAACTAGACGTGGTTGTCGGTCTTGCTTATCGTGGTGACTCAACCGAGCAATATTGGCTGGAACACATTTTCTTTTGGGTCCTAAAAGCAACGGTGAAGAGGTGGATTTTTACTGCTGAATGTGGAGGGGATGTGGCAGCAGAAAGGTGATTCATTCAAACAACTAGAGTCTGCAGCGATGGACCCTGACGGGGCCAGGGTTTCCTGTTGACCACCTCCAACCACCATCTTACCTTAACATAGTGCACGCAATGTTGAGCAACCCAGACTAATGGCCACATTGCAACTTGATCGATAGCATTCGATCAGCACTAAGACGGATCTGACACGCATGACAATGATCAATCAATTCTGGATGTGGATGTATAGACCAAATATTCACCCTTTCACAGGTTCTGGAACATGAACATACTTTTCGACACCCGACAATAGTTGTATTTCTTGACCTTAAGGTGGCGTTCGACTCCATCGATTGTGAGATACTGTGGCAGCATCTGTCATTGAAAGGGGTACCAAAGTGCAGTAACGTAATGTGTTTGGATGCAGTCGTTAGGAAATCCCAGACCTACGTTTAATGCCATTCGGCACTCGTGCAACTATAGTCCCGAGGAAACCAATGCTCCCTGGTGGATTCGATTCCGTGTCACCCAGCCCCACACTTACAGACGTTACCACGGAGCTATTCAGTCCGCAACTGACCTCCTGTAGGACTGAGACGCATTCACATTGCAACCTGATAGATGGAATTCGATCCGCACTAAGGACCTGACAACTGGAAGTACATTAACGTTGTACAGGCTCTCTACTCGAACACTAATGGTCGAGTTACAGCTTATGGTGAACTTTTATGGGAATTGATCACTTCAAGTAATGTTCGTCAAGATTGTCCGCTTCCCTCATTTTTATTTAACTTTGATATAGAAGTGCTTTTAGAGGTAACACTTCCATCTCCTGAATTCCCAAAGTTGTTCAGGAGGTTTACTTATTGACTTGTAATACGAAAATGAAATAGTTCTGTAGGGTGAAGACGCTAACAAAATGAAGTTTACTGTCCACCTTACGCAACAATGCAGGCATGTTCGGGATGCCGTCCACTTCCTCTAAATGCAAAATCAGGATCGACTTGAACCTGCGTCTAAATTGGTGATAGAGAGTGAAGTAATCGATCGTACAGCCCACCACTTCTCTCGGGATTCGCATCAGTACTGATGGTCTGGTGTCTGATGAAAGCTTGGCACGAATTCTGAAGGCTCGATTCGTTTTCGACAACTTAAATCAAATAGTGGCGTAGGCGAGATATTCGTCTTTCAAACAAAGAACGCGTTTACTGCGCAACAGTTTGCTCCGTTTTACTTTATAGGTATGAAAAATGGTCATTAAGAACAGAGAGTATCTGTAGGTTACTGGCATACAACCATAGGTGTCTATGAAGGATCGCTGGCGTACTTTGGAACCACGGAGTAAGCAATGCCTGAGTTAGGAATAAAGTCCTAGATAGAGACGGTAAATCAATTGACGAGGTAGTAAGTCTTTATTAACAGAGGTGGTTAGGACCTGTTACGTATGCTCAACCATTGTCTACCTCGGGTGATTTTATCTGGTTTTATTTATTTATTTATTTAAACACATAAATATTGGTACAATGAAGCACCAGATAAATATGCGCCATGCAAATCTCATTCGATTTGTGTGAGGGCTGTGATACTGCCCAGGTGCCCAGACTGAAGCAGGTGGTTTTCTTAGGGGGCCACACCACGAGCCTTTGATGTGGAGGTCTGATCCACAAGGCAGTGGAGCAACGTTAGAAGATACAGTCCCATGGTAGTCGTTGACCAATGACAGGTTCGTCCGCCATTCGTTCCATCAGGATACTGGAGCCCATGTGCACCATTGGTTTGGAATCAGGGTTTTCCAACTCCCCTAGGTGAACCCTCCGTGTCCACCAACCCGGTTAAAGCGCCGGACATTCGCTTTTCGTCCTCTCACTTTCGTAAACAACACCCCCGCCACGAGAAGGCAGTGAGTAGGACTTCCCTGGCAGAGGCTATATATTCGCTGGCCATATGAGAGTATTTCGAGAGGGAGAGGTGACTCTCCCCACTCTCGGCCGTACCAGGGCATTTGGGGGCATTTTATCTGGTGCAGGAGCAGGTTGGAAGAAAGCAAGAGGTAGCCAAACCAAAACATGGCATCAGTCCACTGCCAACCGGGCTTAACGATGTGAATAAGTACGGACTATCGGGTTGGGGTCTTCGGGATCATTGTAACCTATGGTTAGAAACTTTGAATGGCATGGCTCAAAATCGTTTGCCTGCTTCAGTCTGGGCACCTGGGCAGTATCTCAGCCCTCACACAAATCGAATGAGATTTGTGAGGCGCATATTTATCTGGTGCTTCCTTGTACCAATATTTATGTGTTTAAATAAATAAATAAAATAATTCATTAATTGACTTCTCTAAATCCCGACATTTTAAATTTCTCATAACTATTTCGCTAATTTATATTTTCTTTTCGAATCGCATCTTCGATGTCTAATCTTTTTTATTACCACTGATACTTGTACTACCTATATTACTCCAGGATTTCGCGTCTTGAACCAATGTACGTACGTACGAGGTTCTATGTTGTGACTGACTAAGTAGAACATAGTAGATATTAGTTTTTTGACCTATTGAACTGAAGTGAGAAGCCACACTATTAGGACTTAAGTTATGAATACCAGTAAGTATATGAAAATCACATCTAGAAAATAAAGCCGATTGAAGATCTATTACATTCTTACAAGTTATTAAACCCACCTTAATTAACTTAAATTTCTCAATAGAAGCACGTAACTCTTTGATTGTCTGCTTTATGGTCTGTAATCTAGATATCATACAATCCACCCGCTTCTCATCGTTTATAAGGCGTTCACGTAACTTGTTATTGACTTCTCGCAGTTGAGCTGCCCGATCACCTGATAATTTTAACTCCTGCTCTTCTTCATGTGTAGCAGATAATATTTGTTGTATGAGAGCAGTGGTTTTCAAATAGATATTACTTGTATCCGTGTTGAATTCATCCCTGAACACATCAGACATTATCCAAAACAACCAATCATATCCTAAAAAACAAGTTACAGATGGAAATAAAAAGTGTACAATACCCTATTATGATTGCTAATGGCTGCCGAGATGGCACTAGTATTTCCAGATGAGTTACCCTTATGATTTTGAATGCGTCTTCATATATACATATATATATTATCTAGTGCCGTGCCCACCAATGAAAGGAAAGAAAGATCAATCTTATGAGAGGTTGTAGTCAATTGTAGAGAAGTAACAAGGGAAAGACTCCACCATTCCGGTGGGAGACCAAAGGGCCAAAGTTGGAATCGACAACACTGCTTAAGAAGTCACAGGACAGTATTGACTGAGAGGACACCAAATTGATGACAGATTTGCAAACTGATGTTGATTCAACAGAATAGTTATTTATTTAAACACATAAATATTGGTACAAGGAAGCACCAGACACATATGCACCACACAAATCTTATTTGATTTGTGTGAGGGCTGTGATACTGCCCAGGTGCCCAAACTGAAGCAGGTGGTTTTCTTAGGGAGCCACACCTGGAGCCTTTGACCTAAAGGCTTGATCCATAAGGTACTGGAGCATTGTAAGGAAATGCAGTCTCACGGTAGCCGGTGACCAACGATTTGTTCATACGCCATTTGTTCCTCAGGATACTGGAACCCATGTGCACCATTGGTTTGGAATCAGGGTTTTCCAACCCCCCTAGGTGAACTTTCCGTGTCCGCCGACCCGGTTAAAGCGCCGGACATTGGCTTTTCATCCTTTCACTTTCGTAAACAACACCCGCGCCACGAGACGGCAGTGAGTAGGACTTCCCTGGCAGAGGCTATATATTCGCGTGGTCGTGTGAGAGCATTTGGAGAGGGAGAGTTGACTCTCCTCACACTCGGCCGTATCAGGGCATTTGGGGGCAACAATTCTTGTCCCATATAAAGTAGCGACGGTGTCGTACGTACGTACGAAGTTCTACGTTGTGACTGACTGACTGACTGAGCGACGGTGTCGTAGTAAACGGGAACGCAAGTCAGGAATACCTAATTATTACTCAGAGCAAAATTACAGGGTGCGTTTATAAAACATTGAAACCATATATTAAGTACATTATTTGCACATCTTCCTTCACTTGTCTTTTACATGCCTAATGATTTTGCCAATTATTGTTATTTTAGTTTCACTCTGTTTCCCTACCCGTTCTTTACATTCTAATCTGCTACCAGGCATTCCACTTTTAACTGCTGCTACCCATCAGCATAAGTAGCATACACCACTGTTGAGAAAATGTTTCAAATCATCAGATCATATGTTCTAATTTATTTCTGACTACAACTCAGGTAAATTAGTAGCATACAATTAACCCCTTGAGTATTGTCCACTTGAATTGTGTAGTTTAGGCGAATTTTTTGAATTCCTTAAGAAGGGAATTTATCATCTATCTAGTAGTAAACATAATGCCTCATGAATACATACTGCAATGTTGCTTCGTTTATGTTTATTTGCATGTGCCAAGGCCATTACCTATAGGCACTGGTGATCTGTCGGTACTAGGCACAGGGACTTCGTAGGCGAATCTTTCTCTGTGGTCCACAACCGTTTGATACCGCATCGACTTACATGAAAAGAACAGTAATCTTCATCCGCTGTAATTTTGGAAGCACTTTGTTTCTGGTGGATAAAGGAAATGAGCTACTAACAAACAATCAACTAGAAAAATAACATTTGTGAAATTCACGGGAACACGTGCGTGAAAGGCTATATATACGTACAAATAAACTCCAGGAAAGAAAGGTATAACGATGCTACGTCACATCTAAAACCTAAGAACCTCGTGATATAAATTCTGTTTGTAACAAAAAATTTTGGGGCTGCTTTGCAAATTGAGTTTCAGGAATGAAACCAGTGCCCATAAAGCACCATAAAATGTGTAATTTGACACACCTGATCACCAGATTTTTGGTAAATTTGGGGGTTTTCCTCAAGTTTGGAGAAATATTGGAAAGAAAAACCTGATTTTTCTGAAGGTTTTGGGGATTACCCTAGAACTTTACGTTTTGAGGGGTTGGGTGGCATTTACCCAACATTTTCTATCCCAGCTTCCCAAAATCGGGAAATTGGGTTTATACAATGACCCATGATTTGTTCGCCAACAACTTGAACAGATATGCACAGAACCCTGGTATTATTTTGAATAAAAGAATGACAATAAATTACAATCAATTATCGCTAAATATATAGCCAGTACATTCATGACAAACCAACCTAGATGATTTCAAAAAAAAACCCAACGATGTACTGAAAACCCGTACTTCCTAGTACCGACAAAATTCGTAAAGTTGGGTTGATGAGAACAAAGTATACAAACAAGCCTGTGGAAATAAACAAAACGGTTATCTTCTATCTGTGCATAAAATAAAAATGAATGACTTTGAAAATATATTCACTACAGTGAGAAGCAGAGATACCTCCGTTAAAACCTAGTGGTTCAAAAGGTTGTGGACAGAATAAAAGTAGCTTTCGCTTAACGGGCTCCCGTATCTAGTAGCAGTGGATCACTAATAGCTCCAGGCAGGAACCTAGTTATGTTATCAGTGGAAGAGGAAAAAGAAATCGGCAAATAATAGTAGGATAATATTCTTAGTCCTTAAGAATATGTCAAGTTTTCTCTTAAATGACTCCCGGGAAATCGCTTGGACTAGCCCAGCCGGCAGCGAATTCCAGTATTTAACTACTCTTAAGGAGTAGAAGTTATGTCTACAGTCCATTCTACTGTGTTGTGTCTACAGTATCCGGGTTTTACCCCTTAGATTCATGTTGCAAATAAACCGAAGTAGGTGTTTAGGTGGATGTCCAGAAGTATTTAGGATTCTGTAGGCTATTAGAAGGTTACCTCTAAGACGACTGTGTCCTAACGGGTAAAGGTTTAGTAGTTGGAGGCGATTTTCATAAGATTTGAATTTGAGTCCCCGAATTGATTTCGTGACTCGCCGTTGGATACGCTCCAGAGTGCCCTTACCCTTTTGGAGTTAGGGAGGAAATAATGTTTCCGTATTCTAAATGGGGACGAATAAAACTGTTGAAGATTATGTGGAAGATTATACCGTCAAACTGGCCAAAAATGCGCTCTAATGTTACCAGTTCAAGGTTTGCTCGAAAGGCATTTTTGTCACAGTCAGCGTAAAACTCCTAAATCTTTTTCAACTTGGGATACTTCTAGAGAGGAGTTTCCTAAATTAAGTCAGATGATGCCTGTTGAGGAAGATCGTCTACATAAGTCAAGAAAAGAAGAGGTCCTAGTACTGAACCCTGGAGGACCCCACTAGGACATTCCATAGTCTGAGAGAAGGTGAAGTTAACGCCGACCTTAAAATGTCGATTTCTCAGACACGAAGCAAGGCAATCAAGTAAAGGTGATTTGATACCCAATCGTTTGGGCTTGTTGATAAGACAAATATGCTTGACCCTAACAAAAGCTTTTGAGAAGTCAAGGTAAATGACTTCTACTTTCCCCTTGCAATAAAGGGTGATTGTCCATCTGTCCACCACAGTCAGTAGGTTGGTTTTACAAGAGTGACCCTCCCTGAAACCGTACTATGGGGGTGAAAAGAAGCCTAAGGATGACAAATAGTCGTCTGTGCCGTAGCATATTAGGGATTCCATAACTTTTGAAGGTAAAAAGAGAAGTGGTACCGATCGGTAGCTTGAAGGTTTGCTTCGTCGAACATCACACTAAATGGTGTTGCCAACACTAAAGCTGCTTCCCTCAGTATGGCAGAACAAACCATATACAAACCAGGAGAAGTATCCTTGTTCAGGTGCAGCAGTTTCCGGTACACCATGTCAGCGCTCAGGTCCACTTTGGAAAGTCATGTGAAGTTACAGGTGAAGCTTTCATCAATATAGTTAGCGTGAGTCAGTTGAAATGTCCGAGAGTATTGTTCAGCCAGAAATTTAGCTTTCACTGCGGTTATTGGCCAGGCCATTAGGACCTAGCTGTTGTGAAACCGATTTTCAATTGTCGAAGAGAGGCTGTACGATGAAATAAGCCTTTTGGATTGGAGACAAATATATCGGCAAGCCTTATCTGGTACTGAAACCTGTCTTCTCTTATTGCCTTCGTGCATATGTTCCTTATATGCTTGTACTGCCTGTATGCGCCGTTGTTACCAGTTCGTTTGTATTCCGCCCAACAATGTCTTTTGTGGCTCAACAAACAAAGAGTGCGGCTCTTGATGACTATGCGTTGCTTGTAGATTTCGGGGGCCGTTAGTGGAACAGACTGCCTAGTCTCACATAAGATCGTGTGCAATGAGAAATCCCAATGGGCATCCACATGTGGTTGAGGTTGAACATCCAAATCCACCTGCTCTAGACTGTAAAGCTGGCGCATCCAACCGTTTGAAATTTCAATGTCTCTTGTTGGTAAAATGTTTTAGCTCAGTTTTGCTGATAAGTCTGAAGGCTAAAATGACGTGATCGCTCCTCTTAGGAGAGCCAGAAGTGAGGGGTTGTCAATTAGGAATTCTTCGTTTGTAGATACTCAGTCTAAGCGCGACGGTACCTGACTGCTTCTCCAACGAGTTACCGACCTCACATTTTCGAATGATCCCAGATCCTTAATGAGGTTGAAGAACCGGGCCTCAGTAGAGTTTTCATCTCCGATATACGTAGGTTCCGTTCGCGATACTTTCTAGGAATGTAAATAAATATAATTCTTTTTTTGAGGTATAAATATTATATTTTATGCAAACTTTGGCATCAGTTTCGCTTAGTCGTAAGTCGAGACAGCCAAATTACTTCTTACTTGATGCTGAATGGATAATAATAGCCTCATAAGATGTAAAAACGTTTTGTATATTCTGGGCTTGACAATGATGTTAATAGTACTAATTTTGTAATTGGCAACCGCAAAGCCAGTCACCAAGACATCAGGGATAAAGGGGTTCAAAGATGCACTTAGAAAATGGTCAGTATGTGAAGAAGTGCTTGATTTAAGCTTACTAGTTGTGAG